ACGATATTCTCAGAATTTTTTATACAGCCACAGCTCGAATGATTCTAGTTTTTCATTGATGTCGCATTCAAGCTCCAAGATCCCATTCTATAAAACAAAGTCGAAAAAACATAACACCTCGACAACATAACTCTTAGTTCCAATTTTAAATCCCTTGTACATTGCACTCTTTTCGTTTTGTAGAAATTTTGTAGAAATAAAAATAGAAATAAAGAGAATAACCGAATGGAACCCCATAGGAAGGAGGACAAGAGGACGACCCCGAAGATCCTGGAGGAACAAAGTAGACGACGCCATGAGTTAGAGATTCCTAAACGATGGAGAATGGGACAACAGATGGAAACGGTTGAGCGAGGAAAGGCAGTGAATACTGTAGAATTCCTGAATATATATAGAAATTTGCTCTAGCCTTTTCTATTCTGATTTTGATCTCCTGAATGTAATCATTTGTGGTATTTATCATTGTTCCCAGATATGCATATTTGTCCACGTGTTCGACGTTGGTTCCGTTTATTAGAAGATTTTCGTTATTTCTTTGAGTTTTTTCTCAGAAATTTCTTCGTGTTCTTGACGTCATTGTTAGACCGTACTCTTTTTCATACTCCGCTATTCTGGTCACCAGTCTCTGAAGATCTTCAATATTTTCGGCTAAAACCACAATGTCGTCATCGCAGAAAACATCTTCTTCTTAGAGTGCCATATCCCTACGGAACGTCGGCGACTACCATGCTTATAATATTGTTATACTGATCTCGGTCTTGCACTACGTGTAGCAATTGGTCCGCTGTCAAACCTGTCCACTGCCGCAAATTCCTCAACCAAGAGAGTTTCTTCCGTCCTATCCATTTCTTTCCTTCGATTTTACCGTTGAGAATTAGCCGAAAAAACTCATATCTTGGTACTCTGATTATATGTCCAAGATATTCTAGTTTACGCCTCTTAATAATATTTAGAAACAGAACAGAAAACATAGAAAGACTTATTATGCAAGAAAAGGTAGAAGATCTAAGCTCACGAGGACGATCTCCAACAAAATGGATGGGTCAAATTAAAGGAATATGCAAAAGACCTATGCATGAGTTAAAAGAAATGACCAGAGACAGAGATCTTTTGAGACGGACAATATACGGCATCACGATGAGCACTACACTATCTCCGAGGGGTCAGGATTGAAGAGAGAGAGAGAGCTGCCCATACCAGTTCTAAAAACAAATTTGCTTTCATTTATGTTTTCATCTATCTTTTCCATAGCTATCGTGTAGGATTCGTAGAAATGCTTTTAGTGAATGGCACATAAGATGTATCAGACGGTACTCGTTGCATCTTTTTGAGTTGGATTATTTACCTGTGTAAATTGGGGCTATTTCATGGGTATCTTTCCAGAATTATATATACTACTAAAGACTTACATATTTACATCCTCTGGATCAGCCACTTTTTAATTTTTATATCTACCAAAACTTTAAAGAAATCTTCTTTAAGTAGGTCAGGTCCGTCCAACTCGCCATTTAATTGTTCTATTGTGTGTTCAGTTACAATGTATTCAGTTGCTCCTATACAGTCTTCGTAGACACATCGTCTCAAGACTAGCAACTTCAACGTGGAGTCATATGTCGCCATGTTACCTAATACAACGGTAACTTGAACATCTTAAGTCATCATAAGAAATTTTGTAAACCAAATGTAATCAATTATTTGTTAACGGGTTTTTACCCATATATTTAGTGGCTACATTCATGTACTCTTAGACACTGATGATGGAATATGGATTCCGAAAACGTTTTGTATGTTTAACTTAGCCCGTTTGGGTTCTTAATATATACCTTTTACAAAGGATTTTTAATAAATTTTTTTAAATGTAGATCTTGCTTTCTCTATCCTACATTTTATTTTTAGAAAATGGTTCCAATTTTCATTGACGTTCGTACCAAGGTAGGTATATGTTTTTACTCTTTCTATTGGTTCACCATACACACTGATTCTTTCAATTTGCTATACAAAGACATAGTCACTAGACTATGCCTTTGTCTATAGTCTGTTTGGTTTCTTACAATTCTCTCTTCTTGATCTGCTGGTGACTTCCACGTATATAGTCTTCTCTTTGGCATTTTGAACAATGTATTAGCTATAACAAAATTATTGTTTTGGCAAAATTCGATAAGCCTGTCACCCCTTTTGTTTCTGTTGCCCAGACCACATCCTCCTGTACATTCTTCTACTTTTTCTTCCCCAACCTTTGCGTTAAAGTCTCCCATTATAATTGTTACATCTTTTTAAAATGTTGTCTAGGTCTTCGTAGAAAGTTTCAATATCGCTCTCTGGTTTGTCTGCAGTTGGAGCATAAACTTGTAGGATGTTTATTTTGGTTTTGTTCTGGTTTCATTTTAAGAGTATAATTCTGTTGGAGTGGATTGAAATTTATTACAGTTTCATCAATGTTTTGTTTAATATTCTTCCGACACCATATCTGTGTGAACCGTCTTGACTTCCTGAATAATATATTGTTTTATTGTTGATTTTTATCTTTCCTGGGTCGGGTCATTGGACATCGCTGATTCCTAAAATATCTATATTCAGCCTTTCCATTTCTTTAACGGCATTATGTACTTTTCCAGCTTGATGTAGACTTTTAACATTCCAAGTCGCTACTTTGCAAGGTTTTCGCATGTTGACGACCGGGGAGGCCTTGCAGTCTTGTGAGTTTTCTCCTTTGCCGGATCTTGTTTTCCGAGTTTCATGATCAGTAGAGTGTTTGGTTGAATTGTTAGTCATGATGGTTAACTAGGGATGCTCTATGAGCCTTTATTGCATTGGATTCCCGTTGCCTTATGCATCTCCACGGCGTTGACCATGTCTGGTTCGTTCGCCTTTAGAAATGATTTTCCATTTCTAGGACAAGAAGGTGCCTTCCACTTACCGACTCTTCCACCCGAAGCTGTTGGTCAGTAAGTGGGGGATTGCTTATACCGGCAATGGGCAATCACTCGGACGCCACTTGTATAGCACTTGTATGCTAAAGATAGTCTTTCTCGTACCCACTGCGTTCCGAAAACCAAACTGTGTACGGCTAATTTTTTCTTCGTGTAGTCATATTCTTTGCTGTATGATTTTTAGAAATAATTTTAAAATGTGGCTTATTAAGCTGATGGCCCGGAAATCATTACAGGATACGAATTTTCTTTTCTTTGGTAGAGCAATAAACGTTGACTTCAGCCATGATCTTGGTATTACTCCATTTAAATATATGTCATTGAATATTTTTGTTAGTCGTTGAGTACTGTCGGTATTAAATAGCATTATAAGTTCAGCATATTGTTACGTAAAAGAATATATGAGTCATATTAAAAACCGTGAATATGTTTATTCATTCTCGTAATTTCTAGGTCAAATCTACCTGAGACGGAAGCTATGAAAACAACAAATCGAACCTTCGAGGCGACTAAAAGAAACCAGTTTAGCTACTGAGAATTCCGTCGACGGTGACCCTCCGAATTTACCAGAATGCGATTGACTTTTCGAGACCTACTGAATGAGTCATCTCTGCCTCTCCAGACTTTTCAAGATAGCGGCATTTTATATATAAATACATGTTATTGAGCGGACAGTTAGTTAGTAAGAAAATAAATTAGACGCTCGCGAAACGCCATTTAGATGTACGAAACGTAATAAAATAATTGTACAGTGAGTTTTAATACAAATTACCGTGAGTTTTAATAAATTAGAATAAAGACAATAAATTAGGACTAATAAAAATATAACAATATGCATTGTCAGGTCCAGGAGTTCTGCCATCTTTTAGTTGTGATATTGCTTTTTCCACTTCATCTAATGTAATTGGTAACTGGTCACTACATATTTAGGATGACAGTTGTAATTATTATCATCAAAGAACTCTTGTATATATTTGGTCCATATGCATATTTCTTGATTTTTATCTGTAATGATGTTCCCCCGTTTATCTTGCAGTTTGTTAGCTGTGTTGGATTTTTGAAGACTAGCTGCTTGTTTTACCTATTTATGCATATTAAATGTATCGTGTTTTTGTTTCAACTTTATATTTTCACACTGTGTTTTTAACCAGTTTGCTTTAGCCTTTCTTATTTCGCTTCTTATTTGTCTCTGAATATTTTTGTACATTCTTTTGTTATTCTTTGATTTTCTTCTAAAGAGCTATGGAAAAGCTTATGGTAAATATATAACTAAATGATAAAAAGTAAATCAGACGAATAAAAGAAAACTAAAGTAAGAGATATCGGAACAGAAAAAGCTAAACTAAAAATAGAAAAACACAACAACCGATATGAAAATTAAAAGTAGAATAATATAATCGTAGAGTAGATACCTTAGGAAAAAAACGAGAAAGACAACAAATATAGGTAAGCGATCTCAAAACTCCCCCCCTCACAAACCCGAAGGGATCAATACAGCAAGAAATATATAAGAAATTGAATAAAAAAATTAGGGGATATTCATGTCCAATATTAAGACAAAACTGATATAGATAAATTTAGCAAAATATAATTTTTACTGCCTAAAAATGTATTTATCATAAATGGACACAATTTCATAAAAATCTTTAGGTACACACTGTATTAATTAGTTCGCATATAATTAACAAAAGATCGATTATATCCTTTTGACGCAATTAATACGATCACAAAAAAAACTTAATACGAAAAGTTAAAATTCTATGTCACATATTGATTTAACTCACTTATGTATGGGTCCATCGAATCGTTAACATTCATTAGATAATCGTTGGCATGGATACATAACCTTTCAACCGTGATCGTTTTACAAGGGATGATTCTGTTATAATTCCAATATAAATAGAGCTCCTAACCCTTACGCACTTGCCCCGTGCCAAAAAGTAGGGTCTTTTCGAATAATTGAACGTGACGTCACCGAAAAAAATATTACAAAGGCCATGTCGATGGACGAGAGCGTGAAATCAAACTCACAGTCTGAATCGTCGGGGAGTTCCAGCAATCAGTTGCCTTTTTATGAAGAACATGCAGATAATATGACTGACTTCACGTTGTGTGGAAATCTTGCACCCAGTTTGGCAAGGAGTGGTACTGTTAAGCGGGCTGCTGGTACTAACTTTCTTCAGAAAAAAGATAAGGATATAGGTTGTAGTAGTTTTTCTGAAGGTGATGATAGTGTGTTTTCGTCTAAAGATAAAACAAGTCCTGATCAAAGTGTAAACTCTCGGTACAGAAGATCTTTAGATAGTACTTTTAGGTGAGTCCATTTTATAAAAAAAACAGCTAAAATTTTTAATTAAAGAATTAAATCAAATGATATAAACGTGCATAAATATGATTATTTTGATGCGTCATTTACTTAAGAAATTCTTTACATATACAATTAATATTATTAAGATATACTTATAGCTCGGAGAAATAGAGAAATCTCGGGACTATCACGAATCCAGATATCTGAATTTTTTTTAGTTAATATAGGCCTACATAAAAAAGCTGTAAAATTAATTACAGTTTGTAATAACTTTCAATACTTTCAATATTTTGCAGTTATTAAAGCAACAAATTAATTTGTAAATTAATTTGTTGCTTTAATAACTGCAAAATAAGAAAATTTCGTTAATTGTGTTTAACTATATTAATCAACCTAATATTTGTTATCGTGTCCAAAGTTGTGTATTGTGTTCCTTAACAAATTCTCAAAATTTCAAATCGATGCATTAATTAGTTTAAAAGTTATTCTATTTGTTTTTCCCATAGACCTTTTTGCAATAACATTAGTCAGAAAATAATGAAGATACAGTAATTCTTCTTCGTCCTCTTTATAAGTAGTTATGCTTGTTCATTGTCAAATTAGTACATCTATGGAAGGTTGTCATTCCATCTTTTGCGCGGTCTTCCTATACTTCTATTGATTGCTCTTTTAACCACATAAGATCTCCCTTATTCTGCTTATGTGGTTATTCCATTGTTGTTTTCTGGTTAATGTCCATTCGGTTATACACTGTACGTTACAACTTTTTTCTATTAGAAATAGATTTCTAAGATTAGAACCGGATTTAAAATCCACAATTCGACATAAATTAACGTTTTTGCAGTTTATGCATTTTTTGTATAAATATTCAAAATCCCCAGATGTTTGCCTAAATCTAACCATAAGTTAAGCAAATGTTTTAGGCAAGGGTCAAAAAGATATCAGCCCAAAAAGTCTAAAGTTTTGTCGAGAGAAGATGTTTTAAAATTTATCTATGAAACACTGAATGAAACGTTTTCAATGAACAAAGTTGCATTCATATTTGGTGTATTTGGTGGATGTCGACGGCAAGAAATGGTGAATATGGCAATTGCTCACGTAGAAGATAGAAAATCAGTTTTTCTAATAAACGTACCCAACACAAAGACTGAGAAAAAGGCGCGTTTTTACCATTATTGACAAAGATAAAATGAATAGTTTGAGGCTAATAAGGGATTATATGTCATTACGGCTACGTGATTGTTCAGAAAATGATTTTTTCTGGCCTATAGACAAGGTTACTGCGTATTGTATAACCAGTTAAAAAAAAAATACATTTGGAAAAATCCCCTTCATCATTGCAAAATATCTGGGTTTAAGCAATCCTGACAAGTGTATAAATCATTGTCTGCCTCGAATATCGGCAAATTTTCTGGCAGACGCTGGAGCCAGTATGACAACGTTAAAGCGACGTGGTGGATGAAAGATTATATATATATATATATATATATATATATATATATATATATATATATATATATATATACATATATATATACATAGAGTTTGTTAAAACTTAAAAATGAGGTTTCATTGATGCTGGCAGGCATACCTTCTGGATCTTCTTCTTCTTTTTGTGCCACTCCTATCGGAGATTGGAAATCATCAAGGCTATTCTGACCTTGTTTACGGCTGACCTAAAGAGTTCATTAGTGGTGCAGCCAAACAACTCTCTCAAATTCCGCAACCATGACATTCTTCTACGGCCTGGATTCCGTTTTCCTTCTATTTTTCCCTGCATTATATTTTGAAGTAATGCGTATTTATGTCCTCTCATCAGGTGACCAAAATATTCGAGTTTTCTTCGCTTTAGCGTTAACAAAATCTCTGGGTCTTTTCCTATTCTGCGTATTACTTCACAGTTTGTTATTCTTTCAACCCAACTAATCTTCAGCATTCGACGGTAGCACCACATCTCGAAACTTTCAATATTTTTCATGTTGTTCTGTTTGAGAGTCCAGGCCTCTACACTAGTCTACACCGTATAATAGCGTCTTAAATACATAGCCTCTCAGCATTCTTAATCGTAGAGGGATGCTTATATTTCTGTTGCAGAAGAATTTTCTCAACTTTATGAAGGTGGCCCTGGCAATTTCGATACGTCTTTTTATTTCACTGTTTTGATCTCCAGTTTCGTTTATTAAAGTTCCAAAGTATTTGTAACTTGATACTTTTTCAACTTGAGTGCCGTTTATACTAATATACGCTGGTTGTGTCATGTTTTTACTGAAGACCATATACTTGGTTTTTTTAATATTGATATTTATACCATAATTGTTGCAAGCAATATTTATGTCTGTAAGTAATCTTTGTAATTCTTCTACTGTTCTTGCAACTAGTACAGTGTCGTCCGCGTATCGAATATTATTTACAATCTCTCCATTAATTACGATTCCTCCGTTTGCTTGTAAAAGGGCTTCCTGACAGATGCTTTCACTATATACATTAAATAACAGAGGTGACAAAATGCAACCCTGTCGTACTCCTCTACGTATTTCTATTGCTTGTGATGTTTCAGTTTCTATTTTGATGTTAGCTTTCTGATTCCAATATAGATTGAGAATTATTCGCAGATCTTTATTATCTATGTCCTTCCTTTCAAGAATCTCTCTAAGCTTATCATGGCGTAGTCTGTCAAACGATTTTTCAAAATCGATAAAACACGTATGTACCTCCTGATTAACGTCTAGGCATCTTTGTGTGAGAACATTCAAACCGAAGAGAGCTTCTCGAGCACCAAGCCCTTTTCTGAACCCCATCTGTGTATTACTAATATCTGACTCCAACTTTTGATAAACTCGGTTGTGGATGATTTTTAGAAATATCTTTAGTAGGTGGCTCATTAAAGATATTGTTCGATGTTCTGAACATTCTTTAGCATTAGATTTCTCTGGCAGTGTAACGAATGTAGACAACAGCCACTCTTGAGGTATAATGCCAGTATTGTATATTGTATTAAATAAGTGCAATATTATACCTATTGATTCATCATTCAAGAGCTTTAGCAATTCGGTAGGAACCTCATCCGGTCCATTTGCCTTCCCATTTTTGGAATTTTTAAGTGCCATTTCTACTTCACATTTTAGAATTTCAGGTCCCGTTTCGCCATATATCAGAACAATGTTATTTCTGTTGTCTTCAAATAATTCTCTTATGTATTCACTCCATCTATTAATTTTCTCTGTTAAATCTATAATAATCTTTCCATCTTTGTTCTTAAGCAAACTTATTTGACGTCTTCTTTGGGTTCCTGTAATTTCTCTTACTTTTTTATGTATATTGAACGTGTCATACTTTCTTTCATAGTTTTCCATTTCTACACATTGTTCTGTAATCCATGATTCTTTGGCATTTCTTATTCTTTGCTTTATGTTCTTATCAACCTCTTTGTATTTTTCTGCATTATTCTTCATTTTGCGTCTTTCATCCATTAGTTCTAGAATGTCTGGTGTCATCCACACCTTATGTTTCTTTGCAGATTTGGTTAGGTGTTTCTTTCCCGTAGTTCTTATTATAGTATTTATATACTTAAGTTTTTCATCTATGTTGTCTGTTCTGCGGATTTGGCTTTCTGCTACACTGAGGCTGGTGTTTATTTCTTCTCGCACTGTTTGTCGTAGATGTTCATTTTTAGGCTGGCTTAAGTCTAATGCTGGAATGATGGCTTTTCTTATTTTCTTTGGTCTAGCTTCTATCACAGATACTACTGGATTATGATCCGAACCGATATCAGCTCCAGGGAAAGTTTTAGTAGATTTTACGGCATTACGGTATCTTTTTGTCACCAATATGTAATCTATTTGGTTTCTGACCACTTTTTCTTGTGTATGTTGAGGTGAAGTCCACGTATATAGTCGCCTTGGGGGTAGTTTAAAGAATGTATTAGTTATTATTAAATCTTCGCTTTGACAAAACTGAACTAAACGATCACCCCTTTCATTTCTATTACCTAAGCCATATTCACCGACATTGGATCTGGATCTTGCTTTTCCTTATATTTGCTGCTGGCAATCTATCTGTCACCGGATCTTTCCAGAATTGCCAATTTTATGTGAATTCCACTAAGTACTGTTATGTAGTTATCATAATTTAATTCCATATTTTGTAACTTTAATGATAAATGTTATTAAGAAGTTATCAAAATTGTTTCTTCTTTATGCTGGTGCGGGCCATAAAGTGCACTTACACAACGATTCTAGAATAACTTTGTTTTTTATTTAAATTCGTGCAAGATTGTTAGATTTTTAAAAATGAAAAAATATTTCGTGTATAAGTAATAGCTTAAAAGTTATTCTAATTGTTTACGCGTTAAAAATAACAGTAATTTTCCAAAACGGTTATCAAAATGATTTTTTATCCTTTTTTGATATATATTAATGTTATTGTAAAAAAGGTCTCTGAGATAAACAAATAGAATTTTTAAACTAATTAGTGGATCGATCGGAAATTTTTAAAGTTTGTTAAGAACCATAATACTCAACTTTGGGAGCAATAACAAATATTTAGGTTGATTTTTTACAGTAGTTATAAACAATTAACGATTTTTCTTTATTTTTCAGTTTTCGAAGCAACAAATTAATTTTACAACTTTTAACAATCACCAGTTTAAAGCTTATTTATGTTTTAAAAGACAAAGTTTTGTAATTTTACCTCAAATATTAAGCTTTTTCGTAAAGCTAAAACGTAGAGATATTCTTGATATAGGCCTATAATAACTAAAAAGATTCAGATACCTGGATTGGTCATAGTTCCGAACACGGTCTTTTTTGCTTATTTCACTATAATATTTTTGTTTTTGTACATTCTACTATAATTATTTTTTGTTAATCTGGTGTACCACTCCAATGATGCAATTGTAGATTTTATTTAAGTACCTATGCCTTTCTTTTTTTATTCTATCGCTTTTCCATAGCTGTCTGACTAATTTGTTGTGCTAGGTTCCCTATAGGGTCTCTTCATATTTTTATGCCTTCTGCTAATATATGTAATTCTTTTCTTGTTTTGTTTTTTCTTCTTTTTGTGTGTCTCACCCCTTAAGCACATTGGTGATCATCTCGGCCCATTTTATTATGTATGCAGCAGTTCTGAGAGTTTTGTTGTTGATTTTCAACTCCACTGCTTAAAATTTTTCAACCAGGGCCCTGATTCTATTTTATTTCGATGTCGAAATTTAAAAGCAACTACGTCATGACAGTCGCAAGCGATTCTCATTCATTTCGATTTTAGTTAAAAGTGGGGATATTTACTTTATCATTTTGACATTCCTCAGAATTTGGGTTGGCCGTCTTGTTTATTGGCTGCACGCTGCACAACGCTTGTTAAATGTTTATTTTGTTTACATTACGCCTTTTGTTTCTTGTTTGAGTTGTTAAATTTTTAGTGGCCATTCTCAATTATTATATTTTGAATTGAAAAAAAAAATGTATGGAGAAGCTGTCGGTGATGGTGGCACTAAATAGTCTGTGGACCAAAAAGAAATTATGGTGGCTTTAGACTTAGTGGTTATATTTTAATATATTTTTAAATTTACTGAAGCTTAGTAATACTTATCCTAAACATTTTGGGTCTCCTAGAGGCATAAACACCCTCCTCCCAATATGGTTCTAATATCCTTATCAAATAATTTACAGCTTGCTCATTAAGGCGGAATTGCTGCCTAAATTGAGCATCACGTAATGAAAAAGAATTTTGAGTATCCCGTAATATTCTTCTTAAGGCCGTATGACACTATTCATTTTCTTGTATCATTTCTTATATCGTTTCTGATATAACAAAAAAATGGATAGTGCCATACAAGCGTATAGTTCTCATATCAGGAACAATACAAGAATTTGTGTCCGCTGCAGTTTCTTGTACAAGAAATGCGCCAATTTGTGGGCAAAAACGTAAACCTTATGTCATAATGGCGACTGGAGGAGAACTTTGATATACAATTAGACCAAGCAGACATCGAAGAAAAGTGCCCACCAGGCACCAACAATAACCAAGATTAGAACAGCAATAGCCAAATTGAAAAACAATAAATCACAGGGATTGGATCAAATAGCATCGGAACTACTGAAAGTAGGAGGAGATGTATTACTAAAAACAATACATAACCGCTCTAAAAATTCGTGATAAGTTTAAAGATTATTTTATATCTCCAAATAAAACAGTAGAATTTCAAGAGCCACAAGGAATCTACGTTCCTGTTGTTGGCTGTATACCATATATTAAAAAATTTTATTCAAAATCCTTTGTAAAAGGTATATATTTAGACCCAAACGGGCTAAGTTAAAAACACAAAACGTTTTCGGAATCCATATTCCATCATCAGTGTCTAAGAGTACATGAATGTAGCCACTAAATATATGGGTAAAAACCCGTTAACAAATAATTAATTACATTTAGTTTACAAATTTTCTTATAATGGTTTAGGATGTTAAAGTTACCGTTGGATTAGGTAACATGGCGACATATGACTCCACGTTGAAGTTGCTAGTCTTGAGACAGTGTGTCTACGAAGACTGTATGAGAGCAACTGTTGCTCTAGCTCTAGAGAATATATGGAGAACTTTATGCCATATTACAAGAGTTAAAATACATTTTCGGAGCATAAACCAAACTCTTTGATACATCGAATTTTCACGAACAACACTATAGCCATATTAATAAAAAAAATATGTCGGTCAGATAGCCAAGCGCGCTGGGCAGCCGGTTCTCATTCGCTTCACTGTGAGTGGTGAAATTTATGTGGGTTTTTATGTGGGTTCGGTCCCCAGCTCGGTGTACAGAAAACAAAAAGGCTAACGTAGCAGTTTAAAATTCTAGATGAATCTGCGGCTTAGACTAGAATATGCTGGTGTCTGATCGGCTTATGGTGGAGCAGTACGGCCAGAGATAAGGGCTTGCGTTTCGGTGATACTCCTCTATAGATCCCTACCGGAAGGGCGTGCCGCCTAAAATACCGGTATATATATATATATATATATATATATATATATATATATATATATATATATATATATACATATATATATATACATATATATATATATATATATATATATATATATATATATATATGTATATATATACATATATATATATATATATATATATATATATATATAATAAAAGAAATATAAAACACAGTCTTCATCAAACATAATCAAAAATAGTTTTTCTATGGGTTCAGTCCGATTCAGGGATTGAGGGAACTGAAAACACTGATTATTGGGTTTACACAGCTGCGCCATTACCTTTATTGGCAGAACAATCAATTCCAACCTCAGATATAAAGTAATTATTAAAATCGATGCCCTTCTATCTATGGAAAAAAAATTGAAGCCATCTAAAAGCAAACTAAGAGAGATAAAAGAAGATACTGGTATATGGCACCGACATTCAATTAACAGATCTTACTAAGTCATCCTATCTTGTCTTTGGTTGGGATGCTGCAAACTTACTCATGAACGTTTCATTACTCATACCCAAATACCAAAATGCAGTAAGTGCTTACAAATAATCGATACCAGGCAGTGGCGGTTGGTGACTCAAAAATTTATTAGTTCTGCAGTATTTTTTGGTTTTTTTTAATTCAATATCTTTTAATCGTTGTATTTTACAACGACGCTTTTAGTTTGATATTTTACACGATATATTTATTCATTATATATCTATTAAAAAATAATAAAGAACTTACCGATTTTCTTCTTTTCAAATTGAAGATAAATCCAATTATATCAAAAATAGCAATGGTACATTATGGCACACTAGTAATTGTTTTATAGTTTATGTTTTTAGTAGAATTTTATCGATAAATACGCAAAACTAAGGAATGCAAACGAAAAAACACTACAAACAAAATCGCCACAACAATAATTGCATTATAGGGTCTTACGAACTAACTACACACAGAGCCAAATATATTATTTTTTTATAAATAAGCTCGATTCGTCGATTTTTTTAAAGCAAACTTGTCTATAACTTTTTCATTAAAGTTTGGTATTTCTTTTATAAGTGTTTTTTCTACTGACAACATGGTTAATGCTACAAGTCGGTCTTCAGTCATGGAATTTGTCAAGAATGTTTTAATCCGTTTTAAACTCGAAAAGCTCCTTTCAGCTTCTGCCGTACTCATGGGCACTGTAATTAGAATTTGAAGCAGTTTTACAGTTTCTTGAAAAGGCTCTGTTTTTTATCACTTATTTATTTTATCACTTAAATGTACTAAGTCTGTTACACCAACTTCCATGACTTATCACCTCCAAAGAGACCGTTTTTTCTGTTGCAGCCACATATCCAACTATTTCTCGTATAAATATCGCAATTAAATTGTCGTTTGTAATTTTTCCCTCGGCTTGATCCTTCTTTTTCGATTTTAATATCCGGCAAAGGACGTCCTTTGCATTTTAATTCTAGTTTTTCGTCATAAGAATATTTAAAGAATCTCTTAACATTAATCAAATTATAAATAACATCCATCCTGAACAGCACTTTTATTCTCATATACTTAATATAAATATCGAATTACGTGCAGGACAACTTATTTTAACAGTCGTCGCGTCGCGATCACCGATTATTTAGAATTACAATAAACGTATTTTTGTACACACTAGTTCGAACTGCGACAAAGGCAGCTCAAATATTGCTTTCAGTCGTCGCCTGAAAAGTGTTGGCGAGGGGTTGAGCGGGTGTTATCGGGGATATCTTTAACAGTTCACAGCTCGGAGTAGCACCGGTCCGGTCAAATAAGTGGGACTTGCTGTCGCCATGAGATGCGACGGACGACAGATTAAAATAAAGGCGGCCATGCACGAAAACCATCTAAATGAATTTAGATTTTATAAGTAGTGATATTTTTTATTTAATTTTCAAAGTAATTTTGTTTGGATTATTTTGGTGGTTCTGCAGCTCCGCAGCACTTATATACCAACCGCCACTGATACCAGGATATTCAAACAATATGAAAGACATTCTTAACCTTCAATTCGACTGTAAATCGCTTTTTCAATTCTTTAACAAATGTAATTTAGCAATATATAGCTATTGTATTTTCTTTATCCCGCTAATGACCGTTGTGGTTAATATGGTTATTTTCTAAAAAAACTCTTTAAATAAATTATGTGAATAATGATTTAACTTTAATAAAATACGTCTATTTTTGATTTTCAGGAGAAGCTTAGAATCTATCTCTGAACATAAAACGAAAAGGTCATTTTCTCCCACATGCACATTAAGTACCGCCAGCAGATGTAGTTCTTCTTTGGAATCGTTTTCTTCGGAACATGAAAATCCCATTAAGAATTGCATAAATAACAAAAATGATGAAGAGAAACCCGTACAAAGTCCAGCTTCTAGTTATCTTTCATGGATAGAAAGCGTCAATAATGAATTTATTGATACTGCTGCCACGACTGAAGTAAAACCAACCGAAGTCAACGAAGTTGATAATAAAGTGGGAGAATGGAATAACTTTTGGTTAAATTATAATAGTGCTAGGAGCCGGTATATGTCTAGCGCTTACCTAAGTGCTGACGAAAAAATAGTAAGATTTTATTTTATATGTCATATTATTTATTATTATTTTCATATTATTTTTTTTTCATTACATTATCAGTATTTACATTTTTAAATACATACACTAGACAGCTTACCATTACGTATCACTTTACTTTACTTTACAATATACATATCCATATGTATAAATAGGAAGAAACAAATCGTTGCTCTAACAAACGAAAATACCAGAATTACATACATACATGAAATAATACAACTCGTAACTAAATTCTACAGCGAAGTTTACAAAGCTCCTGATACAATTGAAGAAATAATCAGTAATCAAGAAGTCTTACCAGAAGTCCTTCCAGAAGAAGTATAATCGACAATTGCAAAAATGAAAAGCGTTAAAGCAGCTGGAATAGTTGGTATAACAATGGAGCTGCTTAAATACGCTGGCAATATATATATATATATATACATCCGGTTTTTTTAGGCGTTACGCCCGTCCGGTAGGGATCTATGGAGGAGTATCACCGAGCCGCAAGCCCATATCTCTTGCCGTACTGCTCCACCATAGGCCGATCAGAACCCAGCATATCCTAGTCTAAGCCGCAGATTCATCTAGAATTTTAAACTGCTGCGTTAGACTTTTTGTTTTCTGTACACCGAGCTGGGGCTCGACCCACATCCACTAAACCATTCGACAGTGAAGCGAATGAGAGGCAGCCACACAGCCCGCTGAGCTATCTGACCGACCGCTGGCAATAAAACCTGGAAAATCTTATCAGGCATATTTACGAACTGCCTAAGATCGAGATGCATACCAGATCACTGTAATGCAGCAAACATAATTCTCATTCATAAGAAAGATAGCAAAGGGAATATCAAAAACTACAGACCTATAAGTTTACTACCAATCGTATACAAGATATTCAAAGAGATCATCAACAACAGATTAACAAACGCATTAGATGCTGCACAGCTGAGAGAACAAGCTGGCTTCAGAAGTGAACTCAGTACCATAGATCATATTCATACACTTCGAGAACTAACGAGTAGAGCTAAAGAATATAAAATACCGCTAGCAGTAGCCTTCATAGATTTCGAGAAGGCTTTAGATTTTAGATTCTATATATCCCAAGACAGTAATAGAAGCTTTGACCAACCAAAGCATTGACAAACCGTACATAGAAACTTTAGCAAATATATACAGGTAAAGCAAAAGCTAAGGTAAAAATTTATGAAAAACTCCAGAATTTCTCACTACCAGAGGCATTTGAAAAGGAGACGCAATATCACCAAAGCTCTTAACAGCAACTCTAGAAAATATATTCAGCAAAATAAACTGAAAGAACAAAGGAATATCCATTGATGTAGAATACCTCAGCCATCTAAGATTTGTAGACGACATCGTTCTGGCTGCTAATAATCTGCAGAACTACAAGAACTTATAAGCGACCTAAATGCAGCTAGCAATGAAGTTGGCCTAAAAATAAACTTGACAAAAACAAAAACCATGTACAACGAGCTAGTGGATGTCCAAGATGTAATAATAAGCAACACTGCACTTGAGACAGTAGATGAGTATGTATATCTGGGACAATTAATACATAAATCTGGCTCCTTACTTTCAGAAATCAACAGAAGAATTAAACTAGCTTGGACATCTTTTGGTAGAAATGCAGTTATATTCAAATCGAAGATGCCAATCTACCTGAAGGAAAAGGCATTCGATCAGTGTTTACTACCAATCACGACATACGGCTGCGAAACTTGGCCACTAAAGAAACAGATAATATCGAAGCTCAAAGTCACTAAAAGGTCAACGGAGCGATGCGTGATAGATATAACAAAGAGAGATCGAAAAAGAATAGAATGGATCAGACAGAAAACCAAGGTTATTGATGTAATCCATAGAATTAAATCTTTAAAATGGCAGTGGGCGGAATATTTAGCGAGAAGAACTGACAATGGGTGGTCCACTCGATCTACACTGTGGTATCCAAGAGGCGTCAAGAGATCAAGAAGACGTCTAAATTTAAGATGGGACTATGACAAAGGAAACAAGCCGGAACAACATAGCACAGAAAAGCGAATTTTAGACAATCGTGGGCAGATATGAAGAATGAATATGTAAAAGTGAAACTGGAACAAACCATGAAGTGGAGATATCCAGGAGTGGCTAGTATACCTGTTGAATACAAAGCACGTGGTGTTCGTGTGTATTAAGGTATAAAAACGCTTATTAAAAGCTTAAAATTTTTTATTATAAAGAAGATCTTTTCAGAATTGTATCATTCCATCATCAGTTTACTAAAAGAGAGAGTAAAAATACCAATATTAAAAACAACAAAGTTAAAATTTGAACATACAAAAAGAGAAACTTGGTTTTTTACTACTTACATAAAAAAGGTTGTTAAAAAACATTGTGTGGCCACATAAAAAACATTCGGTGGACATCTGGATTTAAAAAATAATATTCTTCGTGTTATTTATTCAGGTAAATGCAATAGACTCTTGACTTGTGTAATATAAAAAATGAAACTGGGGGCATCTTATATGACCCCCTGTAGTTGGTGAAGTTTTATTGACTTACATTACCTCTGATCTGTGTTGGAGTCTAGGGCTAACTGATTTTTCATACCATCTTTCTATCAGTTAGCCCTAGACTCCAACACAGATCAGAGGTAACGTAAGTCAATAAAACTTCACCAACTACAGGGGGTCATATAAGATGCCCCCAGTTTCATTTTTTATATTACACAAGTCAAGAGTCTATTGCATTTACCTGAATAAATAACACGAAGAATATTATTTTTTAAATCCAGATGTCCACCGAATGTTTTTTATGTGGCCACACAATGTTTTTTAACAACCTTTTTTATGTAAGTAGTAAAAAACCAACTTTCTCTTTTTGTATGTTCAAATTTTAACTTTGTTGTTTTTAATATTGGTATTTTTACTCTATCTTTTAGTAAACTGATGATGGAATGATACAATTCCGAAAAGATCTTCTTTATAATAAAAAATTTTAAGCTTTTAATAAGCGTTTTTATACCTTAATACACACGAACACCACGTGCTTTGAAGAATGAATATATAAGGGAGGCTACATCATAATTGGTAGAATATGCTGAGAATGATATATGCCATAGAATACCCTTTCATTGTCTTAACGTTAAATGTAAAACTTAAGAAGAGTGTAATTTAAGTCTTGTGTTTGATGCCTTATCGAAAATTGCGAATAGTTCAGTTCCAACTACAATGGAAGATATTTCGATTCCTTTGTTTCTCTTTTTCTCTGCTAAGTTACTCGTAGCTTTTCTAGCGAAACGTTTGGTGCTGTCTTCTGATGCATTGAAGCCACCCTCTATTAAACAAATTAGAAAAAATTGTTTCTGGACGTAGAGGTATTTTTCAAATGTTCTAGCGATCGCTGCAGTGCTAAGACGCACGCAGTAGTATCTCTTTTCTGCATGCCAAAGTAGATGACGCTCCGTAGCATGGACTACTGCTTATTTACAAGGAATTCTTTCGAGTTTGTCTCCAATTGTAAACTAAGCACCTTCTCGTCTTCTTCAGGTTCCTTCTCCTATCGGAGGTTGGAAATGATCATCGCTATTTTAATTTTATTGGCCGCGCTTCTGAATAATTCTAATGAGCTGTTTTTTAATTCTAATACGTATTTCTCGCCCCTCATTATATGACTCAGATATTGAATCTTTCTAATTTTAACAGTTTTTATGACTTCACATTCTTTCTTCATTCTTTGTAACACCCCAATATTAGTTAATTTTTCAGTCCACGATATTCTGTGGATTCTTCTGTCGCACCACCTCTCAAAGGAGTTTAATTTTTTGATTTCAAACTGTTTTATTGTCCACGCTTCCATGCCGTATAGTAAAGTAGAAAAAACGTAACAACGTAGCATTCTTGTGCAAATCTCTAGATTAAGGTTACGGTTGCAAAGTAAGTTCTTCAATTTTATGAACTTGTTTCTTGCCATTTCTATTCTAGATCTGATTTCTTTTGTTTGATCTCCATCTTCGGTTAGCTACGTTCCTAAATATTTATATGTTGTTACTCTTTTGATCGTTGTATTATTGATGAGGTTATCTACATTTTGTGGCTTTTTTCAGAATATCATTGATTTCATTTTCTTGAGATTCATTTGCCGTCCGTAACTTTCACATGCATTGTATACATGTTGTATTATATACTGTAGATCTTCCATGCCACTTGCAAATATGGCCGTATCCTCCGCATATCTAATATTATTAATGCTATTTCCGTTGACCAAAATACCTTCCACAATATCCAATAAAGCTTCTTGAAATATAACTTCACTGTAGACGTTAAATAAGAGTGGTTGAAGTATGCACCCTTGTCGAACTCCTCTAAGTATCCTTACTTCCTCTGTCAGTTCTCCTTCGACTCTTATACTTGCTGTCTAATTTTGATATAGATTCGATATAATTTGTAGATCTCTACTATCTATGTTTTTGCTCTTAAGAATACTTAAACGCTATTCATGTTGAACTCTGTCAAAATCTTTTTTAAAATCTATGAAGCAAGCATATATGTCCCGATTCATATCCAGACATCATTGTGTCAGAACATTGACTCCGAATAATGTGTCTCTAGTTCCTAGACCCTTTCCAAAAACCCATCTGTGAATCACTTATTTCTTGTTCTAATTTCATGTGGATTCTGTTGTATGATTTCTGCTGTATGATTTGAAGGAAGGTTTTCAATGTGTAGCTCATTAATGCAATTGTCCGATAGTCATTGCAATCTTTAGCATTTGTGATTTTTGGAATCGTTACAAAAGTTGGAATTAAATATGGAGTTAAAAAGGTCTACCAAGACATTAATATTATCTTCATCAATTATCTGCAATAGTTCAATTGGTATTTTATCAGGTCCTGGAGCTTTTCTACCTTGTGTTTGTTTTATGGCATAAATAACTTCCTCTTTCATTATTTCTGGTCCCACGGTTTCTCCGTCAACTTCTAATTGTTCTACTTTTTGGTCATAAATGTATTCTTTTCATCTACGTAATTTGTCTTGCGTTTCAGTTATAGTGGTACCATCTGCATTTGTTAATAGCCGTTTCCTTTGTTACGATTTCCTGAATTCATTTATTTAACCTTCTTATGGGTGTTGAAAGTGTCATACCTTGCCTCAAATTCCTTAATTTCTTGACATTTAGTGGACATTCATGTTTCCTTACTTGTTTTATTTTCTGTTTTATTTGTTTATTCATTTCGTGGTATTTAATTTTATCTTTGTTTTTATGTATTCTTCTTTCGTCCATCTTTTCGAGTATTTCTTGTGTCATCCATTCTTGTTTGGCAGTTTTGTAAATGTTAATGTTTTCCGTCCTACAGTCTCTGTTATTGTGTTTTTTAAATTCTTTCATTTTGTTTCAATATCTGTAGTGTTCTTATTTTGTTGTTTTATTTCTTGGATACTCTGATTCATTTTATTTCGAGTTTCTTGGTATGTATTTTGTTCTCTTAGTTTATCAATGTATATTTGTAGTCTAGATCTTCTCATTAATGATTTTCTCAATCTTATATTCATATTGGCTACTACTGGGTTGTGGTCCGAGTTTACATCTGCTCCAGGGTAAGTCTTCACTACTGTAATAGAGTTCTTGTACATGTTCCTTCTTCTTCTTCAAGTTCCACTCCTATCGGAGATTGGAAATCATTCTGGCAATTATAATTTTATTGGTTACTCGCATGAATAGTTCAATTGAACTGCATCCAAACCACTCACGGAGATTGCGTAGCCACGAGATTTTACGTCTTCCTACGATTCTTCTACCTTTGATTTTACCCTGCATTATATTCCTTAGTAGTTCGTACTTTTCACCTCTCATGATGTGCCCCAAGTATTCCAAATTCCTGATCTTTATGGAATAAGACATGACTCATTAAGGCTATGGTGCGATGTTCATTGCACTCCTTTGCATTGGCTTTTTTGTACCTGTTCCTTATCAAGATGTAATCTATTTGATTTCTTATAATTTCATCTTTGTTGTCTCCAGGACCTTTCCACGTGTAGAGCCGGCGATTTGGTAATTTAAACATTGTATTCATAACTACCAGTTCTTCTGTTTGGCATATCTGAATTAGTCTTTCATCACGCTCATTTCGTTTTCCCAATCCATACATTTCAACACCTCTCTCCACACTTCCTCTGCCCACTTTGGCATTGAAGTCACTCATTAGTATCAAAACTTAACGGTTTTTTGTTGTTTTCATTATTGTTTCCAATTGCTTGTTGAAGTCTTCTATTTCTTGTTCCTCCTTATCAGCTGTTGGTGTATATACTTGAATAACATTCATTTTCCATATATTGGTGTTAATTTGTAGCATTATAATGCGATTTGAAAGCGGGGTGAAACCAAGTACGGATCTATCTATTTCCTTGCTTACCAATATGCCCACACCATATCGGTTTGTTCTATCAGAATATCCATTATAATATATAGCTTTATTTCTAGTCCGTTGTTTTCCAGACCCTGGCCATTGTACATCGCTTATTCCTAGAATTTCGATATTTAATCTTTCCATTTCTATCGCAACATTATCTACTTTACCTGATTGTAGTAAGCTTTGTACGTTCCATGTTGCAATTCTCATATTTCCTTTTGTGATATTTTTTAAAAGTGTTCCATTATTTACATCACAGGGATTTCGCTAGCGAGAAGCCCTGTGGCTAACTTGTGATTTACTTCCCCTGTTAGATCTTGGTTTCCGCAACCCATGATCAGTAAGGTTACTCATTTGGTTATTGCTAGCCATGATGATTGTACTAGGAATGCTCTTGTGAGCCCTTACTACAGTGGTTTCCTGTGGCCTTCTGTAGCCCTATGTCGTTGACCATTTTCCTGGTTCATCCGCCTTTGAGACCGATTTCTCGATCTCAGGACAAAAGAGTGCCCTTCCACTAACCAGCTCGTCCGACCGAAGCCGTTGGCCAGTAGGTGGGGGATTGCTTATACCGGCAATCGCTCGGTGGTTTTTCGCCATATCTGATTGGCCTCACTTAGTTTAGCTGCAGACCAATGCAGTTGCCCAGGGTGTGGCACGAGGAGCCATAAGTGAGAGTTACTCTCACGCTCACGCTCGATGTGGTCGTTCCGATAAAAGGTACTACCTCTATAACACACCCTAAACACCTTTCTTATAAGGCCTTGATAAACTAATACATCGATCCTAATTACAGTGGATAATTATGAAAGATTTACCGTCATTGGAATAGCAAAAAGTTGATTCTAAGAGGCGTTCGAAAGAAATACATCCTTGGATGCAACAATTAATTTGACGAACTATATAACACCTATGTAAATATTGTTCTGAAGCTATTTTATTGTGGCATTGTAAATTAATTACTATTTAACTGGGAATAAGCCACAATTATAGATAAAAATACGTTTATTGACGTTTCAATTTCCACTTCTCAAAATACAAACAGTAAATTAAACAAATTTTGTTTTTTGTTACATAGTGAAAAATTCTTCTAATAATTTAATTTTATCTGACTCATTTATATTGACAATTCAGACATACATTATGCATTTTAAAGTAGACGACTTTAAAATGATATTGCCAATATTGTTGAGTTGCGCTCCTGGGACGACTTTACTTATAAGATAGTTCATTCGATTACATGAAATCAACTTTAACTTGAGAATATCCGTCAGAAAAAAATCATAGCATGTAATTCGTCTTTAAAAAGACAAACACATGACATTATGACAGTAAAATTCTCCTGTTAGTGATTCCATAGTAAATTATGAGGGAAAAACCAGGAAAAAAACCTCATAATACTATCCCGACATTGTAAGTATTTGTTCGTGAATTTAGTTTACCTTCAACCAACATCAAAATTCTGATTTTATATGTTACGTTATTTAAAAAACATAAATGATGTATCCTCTATATGTTACTGACTTACTAATACTGGTATTTTCTTATTATTAACTTCCTCTTTCAATATTGGTAACCAGATCCTACTACATTCTGCCGAGGAATTTGCGACACAATTGGCCTCATTTAGCATAATTAGAGCCGCTTCTTTGATTTTTCTTTTTTTACCATCCGTTTCTTTTAGGACTACATTTGAATTATTCCATTGAACCCTATGTTCATTATCCCATGCGTGTTTACCTAAATAAAACTGATTGCATTCACATGGTATTTTATAAATGCAATTCTTTGTCTTTGTCTTTCTTGTTCATTGTTAGGTTTGGTTTTGGACAAAATAGATTTCAACGTGTTTGTTGTTTTGAATGTTGTTAAAATGTTGAATTTATTTTCTATCCTTTTAAGTTTTTCTGATAATCCTTTTATGTACGGTATTGTTATTTTCCTCATATTATTCCTTGTGTATGCTGTAGGATCTCGTTCTAAGTTGTTCTGTTCTATTCGATCGATTGTTGAAAATTCCTTATTTATAAACGATAAAGGATAATCATTTATTAGGTGTCTTGGTGTGTGTTGGTTTTCTATACATCTGAGTCTCATCCAGTATCGTTCTTAGAGATTAAAACATCCAGGAAAGGTAGCGTGTTATTATATTCCTTTTCCATGGTAAATGTTATTGTCTCTTCTTTATCGTTTATATCATTTAGGAATGTGTCCAACAACTCTGATCCATCAGGTCATATTGAGAATACATCATCTACATACCTCCACCATATTGTGGGTTTGAAATTTTGTTTAGAAATGATATTTGTTTCAAAATTTTCCATAAATATATCGGCTAAGAAAAGAGATAAACTAGAGCCCATTGCTAGACCAAAATTTTGTTTATAGAATTCATTATTTAGTTGAAAATATGTATTATCAGTACATAATGTTAATAACTCCATTATAGCCGATATGTTTAGTCTTGTTCTAGTTGCCAATGAATCATCACTCTCTAATTTTGTCTTGACTATACTTAAAGTCTACTTTAAAATGCATAATGTATTTCTGAATTGTCAATATAAATGAGTCAGATAAAATTAAATTATTAGAAGAATTTTTCACTAGGTAACAAAAAACAAAATTTGTATAATTTACTGTTTGTATTTTGAGAACGATTTCCGAAGTGGAAATTGAAACGTCAATAAACGTATTTTTATCTTTAATTGTGGCTTATTCCCAGTTAAATAGTAATTAACCTATGTAAATAATAGGGATTCTGATGTCGCTAAGGAGCTTCTAAAAAAACTACACAATACTAGCAGCGAACATATTGATGGAAACAACTGAGATTTAAAAGTCAAGCAGACAAGCATGGAGTCTTAAAAAAAACTAGGTGGAAGTAGTTCGCCTTTCCGAGAAGATCAACTAGTTAAAATAGGCGACAGAATAATTTCTATTTCTAGATCTCCGCGAAATCAACAGCATACATGATACATTAAAAAAGAATTAAGCAGACTACGAATCAAGAATCGCCGCTCAAAACCGAATTTTCTGGCGCCTTTACCAACACAGAACTATCAACTGCTATGACTGACAAGCGCCAGAAAAGTTCAAATTGATTATTGATCTGCCTACCTTTACTATAGAATCATAAATATTATTTTCTTGTTTTTATGAGAAACTGTACATCTAACTAGATAGGTCATATAATTTATATATTTTAAAGTTTTAAATTATTTATATATTTCTTTTTATTTTAGATGGATGATATATCCGACGCCAAAAGTAGTAATAGTACACAAAGAGACCTTGGAGAAAAACCTTCAGGAGAATATGTAATTCTAACCCTTGAAGAGGCCCACGAAGCAATAAAATATTCTAAGAAACTTACGGAGATATTTCAAACTGCTCTTGTGAGAAATGATCATGACTGTGAGAATTCAAACTTAGAAGCTTCTTTCTATTCAGAATCGCTATCACGTCAGGTGAGTACGCAATTAACAGGATTTTTGCTAAAATCAACTTTTTAATATAAATGTAGACTATAAACTATATACTATAAACTATAAACTATATTCTTCCTCCTTAGATTCTTCTTTTTCTTCATATTTCTACCTTTCTTTGTTATTTGTATGTTTTTTACCCTTAATTTGATTTATTTTAGAGTTGATTACGAGTAGCTTGGTGACCTTTCTTTTCTTTGCCGGGTTTTCTCTATTTTGTTGTAACTCCAATAGGTCATTTTTGTAAGGCAATTCAGTGATATATAGTGGGTTTTCCTCTTCTTTTCGTAACGCGTCTTGTTACTAGAGTATGAGCATGATATCGTCATGAAGATGATTGTGTTTCGCTGTTAGTCATCCATGAACAACCAGACCTTTGATCGTTACTTTTAGCAATATTTTTTAGGTGTTTTTTCTTCTCGTCTTTGTACTTATTCCCCAATTATTTCCCAATTTCTGATAGCATACTCAGAATCTATTTCTGATGAATTTGTTGCATTGGTTTGACACTGAGGAGTCGCTTCCGTTTGGGGGTTAGAGGGCTATATAGATACTGATAAATTAGGTTGATAATTAGTCGTTCCAGCTGGAGCAAAATCAGCGTCTGTAAAAATGTGTCGTCTAAATGAATTTATGACAGTTGCCATGCTAACTGCGCTTATAAAGGCTTGACCAAATAAACTTGAAATCTGGAATTGGCTCACTACACGCCCAGGATGGCGCCGCAGCCATTTCTTTACTTCGTTATTATAATAGGTGCTTAGAGGCTTCTCAAAACCCACGTTTAAATGCTTAAGACGGGTGCAATGTGGGGAAAAGTAGGTATAGTGGTACAATATCATTTTCACATGCGAAATCAATCACTGCCATGCTCTTTAAGGTCGGAAGCATGCCTGTCTAACAACAAAAGCACTTTCTGACCTTTTGGCGTATTAGACCATTCCTCAAAACGTTTCAGCGACAACAAAAATAAATCAAAATCCGTAAAATAGTTTCGAAACATAATTCAGATTTCTGCTTATAATCTGAGCCTTCTAAAAATTGCAAGGCAAACAGACGTTGATAAAAGATGTTAAAAGGGACATGGGGAATCTAAAATTTGCATTCCACAACATGTCTTTTACAACTAACCAGAAATCCTTAGCGAATTGTGCTTCTACTACTCACATAGAGTATATCCGAAATAAAATGAAAAATATTAATAATAAAATGACAGCGAAAATTTGATTTCACGCAAACAACCCCTATGTATCTGTTGATACGTATTTCGACCTAGTAAGTCTCATCAGATCGGCTATTCATAGGTGTTTCCAATGTCAAAAATTAATATTTTCTGTCTTGTTTGCCTTGCAATTTTTAGAAGACTCAGATTATAAGCAGAAATCTGAATTATGTTTCGAAACTACTTTACGGATTTTGTAATTAGATGTCGCTATTGCGTCCGTATTGAAGCCATTTTATTGTTGCTTCTTAAAAGACAGAAAATATTGATTTTTCACGTTGAGAACACCTATGAATAGCTGATCTGATGAGACCTATTAGGTCGAAATACGTATCAACAGATACATAGGGGTTGTTTGCGTGAAATCAAATATTTGTTGTCTTTTTCATTTTAAAAATAAATCACTTTGAATCCACTTCGATTCATGGCATTCACTGCAAGATCCAATTGGTGCTCCGTGCTATGTAGCAGCCTTGCTTTAGACTCCTACTAATAGAAATTTCTTTAGTTAATTTGTTACCACTTTTAATGTATACTGTCATATTTTTCTTAAGCTGTTAAACTGCTTTTATATTTTTGTGTTTAGTCTTATTTTTCTATTGAAACATTGAAAATAATACCCCAACGTATGCCTTTGTCACATCTATAAAGACTATATGGCTTGAAAGGTTGTGGGCTAATGTTTTCTCAATAACTAGCTTTAGAGAAAACATGCTGTCTATACAGGATCTGCCTGCATGATAGTCATTTTGTTCTTTTACATCTGTCATCGCTTTTTCAATTTTATTATTTTTTAATAGTCTTGAGAGTGAACTTATGACAGTTAGCCCTCTGTAGTTTAAACAGTTTTGTCCATATCCTCTATTGTAGATGTTGTTAATTTGTGCTTTTGTCACTTTGGTGGAAAGTCATGTCATTTATAGAATAAGTTGAAAAAATACGATAGCAATTCCCGTAATACTTGTGGAATGTTTTAATAATTCGTTCAATATATCTTGTCCGCATGCTTTTCGATTTTTTAGAGTTCGTATTGCATCTTCGACTTCCTGTACTCTTATTTCACACTTACATTCGTTTCATACTTCCGTACTTCTTGTGCTGGTGTTCGTTTCAGATTCAATTAATTCAGATCAATTCAGACAGAATTGTTTCAGTAAGAAGTTGTGAGTATTGTTTGATCCAAGATCTTTTTTCTATTAAATCTATTCCAATCGCTACTTTTCTATTTTTTCTCAAGTTTGTTTACAATTATCCATGCTTTTCTTGATGTTGATCCTATCTATTTGTTGCACTGTTCTTTTTTACCATAAGGTATTTTTTGTTTTAGTTACCAGATTTTTCCTTCTCTTAGGTACAGAAAAAAGCTCCTGAAAGGAATTGGGAGAGTCCTTTTTTAAGCAATGGGACAGTATAGGCTAAATAAAAAATAAGGTTCTGTATATCGATATGCATTACATAATTAATGTTCTTTATCTCAATTAATTTGGGATAAAATTTTCTTTTCGCACAGCAGTGTGTTGGGCCTAAGGTCTAAAGTAGAAACCAACAAACTGCACGATCCCAAAGAGCAAGAGGACATTTTTGACGAATATACGCTTGGGCCCCGTGCAACTACCCATTCATAGCTACATCCCATTGTAAGCGTGAGCAACGACATAAAAACATTCAAATTCATGCTTTACAAAGCTTTAATTATGAGATTTGCAAGACCGAATCTTAGCAACTTTTAGCAACATAAATCAATATATAGCAAGCACAGCGAGACTTGCTCATTAAGCGCAATGTCAGTTGTCTTCCTTTACTTTACCAATGATGTTTTGTTGAATAATTTCACCTAAATGTCAGTTTTGTATTTCATTTATAATTTTAGGGCTCATGTAAAGAGCGTTCTGGGAAGTTACCAAATCCTCAGATTCGACTGCGTACCGCAACAGTGTTCAGGTGGTTGTTCAGACTCTTGTGTAATGTGGATCCATCCCAAATCAGTTTTACCATATAAAGGTATACCTTGTTTGTTGCAAAAATTATTCCATTCACGATATGGATTAGTTTGTTCCGGTTTTCCGGTTGCTGTCTTTTTCACAAGACAACTGCTCATCGACTGAAAAAATCTGTTAAATCTTTTACTTTTATAAATGTTAAATTCTTAACTGGGAGGGGGGGTTTAAACCCCTAAAACACCCCTTCTGGCTTCGCACCTGCCCTATCTGCCCATCTAGGTAAGAATTGAAATCTCCCATTTCGATACTGGTACTTTGAATCTTGGTTGTTCACATCACCTCTTCTAAGGTATTAAATATTTCATCAATTTCGTAGTTTCTTTGTCTGCTATTGGAGCGTACTATAAGGTTTATGGTATTGAGTTTAAATTTTACTTGTAGTAGCATTAACATTACCGAATCTTAGAAGGGAGTGAAATTAAAAACATAATCTTTCCATTTCTTTGATACAATAACTCACAACCTCGTAGCGCATAGTTGTGTTGTAATTTCCAGCATACTTAAAGTTATATAGGTTTTTTATGTTTTCTAGAATTCTTCTATACGGGAAGACAACGCTTCAATATTTACCAATGAAGAATTAAAGAAAGTAGCAAGGGAGAGATCAGCCTCTTACATAGTAACAACGCAGGATCTGCTCAAGCAGCAAAAAGAAATCATTAAACCGTCCATTCAATCATCCAGCACCAGCTGCATAAACGCTATTTTAAATACGGGCGTAGCAGACATTCTCAAGCGTGTTATGAAGAGAAAAGATATAATGACACCTGACGATATGTCCTCAATGACAAGGCGTAGTTTTTCGGAGTGGAGTAATAAATGATTTTTGTTTGTTAAATATTACTATAAGAGTAAATATCACGCCTCTTGTATATATTATAATTACTGTGTGAAGTCAAAAGATTGAAATGTATAAATATATATAATTTGTGTTGTTTTCAATGTTTATTGTGTATATTTAAACAACTGTATAAAATAAAATGATATTCTGTATAAAAATATTTCTTACATTTTCTATAGTTCTTCTAAAATTATAAATTAAAGTTTATGCTTTTTATGTGGGGACAAGATATACATTGTGAAACATTTTTTTAAAAGCAGGAGATAAGTAATGTACTCATCTCATGCTGTTTGGGTTTTCTGTATTTTCATCGGTGAAAGATATCACATCATATCTTATGATCTCTGGTAGTATGTGGTTGGAACAGTCCACTAGTTCGGTGAATTTTGTTCTTGCTTTATCATCCATCTGGTTTTATACTTTGATCTGTTGGGTGTCGCTGAAAATTCCGCTACGTATCGAGGGACCTTCACTGCTTCTTGTAGTGCTCTGTTATGGACAGCTTAGATCTTCTTTTTGTTCGTCTTGAAAGTCTGACCCCAAGAAAGAGAGATGCGTAAGCAGGATGGGCAGTATGATGCTGTTGTGCCTTGTCTTTGTTCTGAATGTTAATTTTTCTTCTTCGTCGATATTGGATTGTACCATTTTTGCCTTCTGTACTGTTCTTATAATATGAGGTGTGAATATGAGGTGTGAAGTCACCCTATCCATGGTGACTCCGAGGTATTTTGCATCATTTGAAGATTCGATGGGAGTGTCGAACATGTCTAGTTGTTCGACTGGTATGCTGCGTCTTTTTTAAACATCGCTGCTTGGGATTTATCCGGAGTTACTGCAATTTTTCACTGTCTGCACCATTCTTCTAGGGCGTCTTGTGCTGTTTGAAGGTTTCTGGTTGCAATGTCTTGGTTTCTATGCTTGGCCACTATTAACGTATACACAGCTGACGCCACCATTCTGGGGGCCTCGGTTGTGTATATGCTTATAAAGCATCGGAGACAGAAAAGCTTCCTGTGGTACTCCAGCTTCCGAAATTCCGACTTCGAATAGGACTTGTCCAATGCAAATCCTGAATTTTTGGTTTGTGATGTACGAGGAAAGTAGTCATCATCCATAATTCTTTCAACTTCCCTATCTTTTGCAATTCTCATCCACTGTTTTCCAGCTACAGCTGTTATATCGTCTATCCATCTCTTTTTGGGTCTTCCCACGCTTCTTTTTGTTTCTCGAGGTCTCCAGAATGTCACTTTATAAGACCATCTGTTGGTGTCTTGTCTTGCTACATGTGCTACCCATTGCCATCTCAATGTCGCTATTTTTTCCATGATGTCGGTTACTTTAGTTCTTCGACGTATTTCAGTGTTAGGAATTTTGTCTCTGAGGTTTATATTTAACATGGCCCGTTGAGTTACTCTTAATTGTTAATTGTTCTGCCATTTTTCTTGTTATTGGCGGGTCATGACTAAACACTAAAAATTTGGTTTTGTGTGAGTTTATTTTAATGCGTTTTCCTCTCCTACCTTGTGAATACGATCATGCAGAATTTGAAGACCTTCAATATTATCTGGTCCGATGAAACATTGAACAATGTTGGCGACAAAATGTAACCTTGTTTGACTCCTCGTTGTATAGAGATTTTATCGGTGTAGTTATCTTCAATTTTTACAATACAAGTTTGATTCCAGTACAAATTTTTAATGACACGAATATCCTTGTCATCTAGTCCGATATTTTTCAGTATTTGCATTAATTTTACATGCTGTACTTTATCGAATGCCTTTTCGAAGTCTATGAAACATGCAAATACGGCATTTTTGTAATAGGATGTTAAGCGCAAAAGTGCCTCCCTGGTTCCCATAGCATTTCAAAAAATAAATTGGGTGTCTTCAAGATTTTCTTCGCATTTGCGTCTAATTTTGTTGTGAAGTATTCTGAGGAAAATTTTAAGAGTGTGGCTCATTAGGCCAATTAATCGATATTCTGAGCATTTTATCGCATTGTCTTTTTAGGTATTGCGATAAAGATGGATGTGAGCCAATCTGCGGGAATCACTTCGGTGTTATATATTGAATTAAAAAGTCTTACTACTACTTTTATCTTATCATTCTCTATTAGTTTCAGCAACTCAGTTGGTGTATCATCTGGACCACAAGCTTTTCTAATTTTAGCATTATTTATAGCGTGTTCTACCTCGCATTTCATAATTTTTGGGCCGTCAGCACAGTTGTGGTAGAATTCGGCAATATTATTCCTGTCATCTTCAAACAACTCTGATACAGCTGTCATTATTTTCTTATTTTGGGCTCATTTACAATAGTTTTGTTATTATTGCCAACGAGTACAGAGTGAACTCGTTTTTTAAATATGTTACTCATTTCTTTTAGTTTTTTGTGCACATTAAATAAGTCGTGTTTATATATTACATCCTCCATTTCGTCGCACCTTTCTCTCATCCATTTTTCTTAGGCTAACCTGATCTCCTTTTTTTATTTTTCTTTGCAATTGTCTATATTCTGTTACATTAGATTTTATCAGTCGACATTGTTCCATTAATTTCAAGATGCCTGTCATCCATTTATTTTTCATGATTAAGTTTTTTCTATAATCATTGTTTGTGGAGATTTCGTTAACTTGGTTTTTAAATTCATTCCATAGTTCTTCTGGATCTTCTAGTTATTTTCCGATGTTTTTTATTCTATTGTTAAATTCTTTTTTAATGTTATGCTTTATGTTTATATCGTCAAAGTTAATTTCATTGGTTTTTGGTTTTTGCCGCAGAATTCGTTTTAACCTTTAATACCATATAAAAGTTTAATATCTGCTACAAGTGGTTGATGATCTGCACCAGGATATGTATTTGATTTCTTAAAGACTCAGGGTTATTGCCATCATCAAATGGGACTTTCCAAGTGTATACTCGTCGTATGGGTAGTTTATACCAGGTGTTCGGAATGATCATATCGTTTTCTTTACAAAATTCATACAATATTTATCCTCAATCGTTGGATTGCCCTAAACCATAAGGACCTACAGTCTGACCTCGTCGACCTTCCCAAATTTTTGCATTGAAGTCGCCTATAATATATAAAATTTCGTGTTTATTAAATCTTTGTGCCACACTCTGTCGAATTCTTTGCTTATGTCTAGGAAGGATGCTCCGGTGTGCAACTGTCTATTGTTGAAGCCTGCTGCAATGTATTCTGTGAATGTGACTACCTGGTGTTCACTTGAGTGTCTGGTCTAAATCTAAATTGGGCTTCCGGTAAGACCTATAGTTTTTATGTTTACTCTTAGAGTCTTCAGAATATCATTCTTAAATATACAAAAAAAGATTTCGTATAAGGATCGCTTATAGAATGTTTAAATTTAGTTATATACTTAGTCATGACAAAACTTCTAAAAGTTGTTAAAGTTGTTGTATAGTATATTGATTTTTTTAAAACATTGACATTATTGCTAGAAGAGCCACTTAAAATATTTCACTAGACAGAGAATGTACAGAATCATCAAAATCAATTTTCGGTTTTAAATGAAATTGAAAATCCAATTGACGTTTGCTCCTAAATCGTTTGTTTCTTATGTCGTCACACAAAGTTTTCTGTGATTCCAAAATATTAATTATATCTGGTTTGATATCTCCTCCATTCGTGAACAATCCAATAGCGCTTAATGCCTTTTTATTTGCTTGTGACAGCTCTTTACTACTTAGTTGAAAGGGAAGTGTCTTCTCAACATGCTCTTTGATTTCTGGAACTCTAAAAATACATTTTTCGATATAATAGTCCAATTATTACAGTTTTAAAACAAGAACCAGCTCTTAGCTCAGATTATATTAAAAATGACTATCTTCACTGTTGAGAAGAGAAAAGAATCAAATACAATAGAATGGTGCTAATTTTTGGGTATTTTAAGTTTTTAAGAAAGCATTTGGCATGGCGGAATTGTTCACTCTTTTGAGAGCTCTAAAGAAATGCTGGATTTATCACCATTACACCAATATTATTTGACACACATAATTCAAACGAAGATAGTTTGAAATTAAGTACTACATGCTCTATATATTGATTTGATGAGGACATCTAACACCTTGATATGTATAACTGGTGTAAATTCTGTGCTTAGCTGATCAAAACACTTTTGGTCAGATCTAATACGACGTCAAATACATCACATGTAAGATTATTGGAGACAATATGCTATGGCACCTAAAAATCAATAAAAAATGGAATACGTATGTTTGGGAGGTGTCCAATAGAATCTAGAGTTTCAACGTTTCCTATTGTCTGACAGGATACTAATGTTACAAATACAAAGAACAACAATAAATGTGAATATATTACAAGCATATGCACCGATACTCTTTACATATACTCTTTAACTTGTATTCAGAAGAAACATTTAAAGAAGCCCAGATAGAGACAACAGAAGGTATTATTGTCAATGGTGTAATCGTAAACAATGCTAGACATGCCGACGATACCTTAGTGCTGGCTAATTGAGGAGAACACTTACAAAATCCAATGAACAAAATAAAGCAAACCCGTGATCAGTATGGATTAAAACTCAACGTTAAGAAAACTAAATGTAGAGGAAAGTAGCCTAATTTCGGATAGTGTCTTAATTTCGGATAGCGGTGTATCTAAAAAAGTTTCTTTATTTGCGAACAGAAACCTATACGTATGTCACGCTGAATACCACAGAGAACATTATCTTAAATTGTTTAGGTAGTAGAGCTGCCATCCCCGTTAGATGGCAGTGCCGAAACCACCAAACGTTATTGTGCAGTTTTTTTTTCGGTCGTATTTCAAAGCCTATTTTTTCGTGTTTTTATTCCTGTTTGAAGTTTGATCTTTTGGCAGGGGTAAGCTAGAAACCTGTTTTATTTGATTTTGCTACTAATTTAAAGCAGATTTTAATCACATATAAATTAGAGAGCCCTAACCTTAAAAATAAAAAATTCCTAATTTCGGATAGTACAAGTC